CCACAATCGTTTTGGCTTGGTTGAGCAGTCATCCAAGCCGCTGGAAGACGTTCATTGCAAATCGAGTTTCAGAAATTTTGAACATTTTGAACAGAGATCAGTGGTCACATGTGTCATCTACTGACAACCCGGCAGATTGCGCTTCCCGTGGAGTCAACCCGTCGGAATGTGAAGCAATTCCCCTCTGGAAAGCTGGACCTGCATGGTTAAAGGACACGAATATGGAATATGACAGGAAGGAGTTAAGCGACACGGATTTGGAAGAGAAAGGAAAGAAAGTTTGTCATGTGACCAGGGAAGATGAACTTGAATTATGGATTAAGTTTTCGTCTTTACAAAAATTGACCAGAGTTATAGCTTATTGTTTGAGATTTATATCAAAGACGAAAAAATCTACTGAAGCAACAACATTTCCGAGTTGGTTAACTTGCAGAGAACTATCAAGAGCAATTCAAATCAGCATAAAGGCGTGTCAAGCTACGTACTTTGCACAGGAAATCAAAGATATTAAGTTTAGAGGTGCAGTTAATAAGAAAAGCAAACTTACCACTTTGACCCCTTTCCTGGACGGTGAAGGAATTTTGAGAGTTGGTGGTCGTCTTGAGAGAGCTGATGTAAGTGATGATAAAAAACACCCGATTATCCTGCCATCGAAATCGCATTTCACAAATCTTATCATTGCAGATGCCCATCAAAGAACCCTACACGGAGGTCCTCAATTGATGATCAATTACCTACGATCCAAATATTGGATCCTCGATGTAAAAAATCGTACCAAATTATTTGTACGCAAATGTGTCACATGTATACGATATGCAGCACAATGTAGACACCAACTCATGGGACAACTACCTGTAGCTCGGGTCACTCCAATCCGCCCATTCTATCAAAGCGGCGTGGATTATGCTGGACCCATCCAGATAAGGACTTCTAAAGGAAGAGGTCATCGAGCGTACAAGGGATATATATGCCTATTCGTATGTATGGCTACAAGAGCCGTACATTTGGAAGCCGTAACCGATCTTACGTCACAGGGATTCCTCGCAGCCTTCAAAAGGTTTGTTTCTAGACGTGGCCATTGCGCTGATCTCTACAGCGATAATGGGACAAATTTTGTGGGTGCTGCGCGCGAGCTAAGAACCCTAGTAGCTCAGGAAAATTCAACCATGACGAGAGAAATCGCTGAGAGTTTAGCTACTGCTGGGACCAACTGGCATTTTATCCCACCGAGAGCTCCTCACTTCGGTGGACTTTGGGAGAGTGGGATAAAGTCCACAAAACATCACCTGAAGCGTGTGATCGGCACAGAGACCCTAACTTACGAGGAGATATCTACTCTGCTGTATCAAATTGAGGCATGTCTTAACTCTAGACCGTTGTCACAGGTTAGCACCAATGCACAAGATCCAACACCGCTCACACCGGGACATTTTATCATCGGTGAACCCTTGGTGCTTGTCTCAGATGCCAATTATGAAACTTCGTCAATATCTTCTCTGAAACGCTGGCAACTAACCCAGAAAATGTTACAGAACTTCTGGCGAAGGTGGTCTAGCGAATATTTGACTCAGTTTCTGCAACGTCACCGGTGGGCAAACCAAACACCAGAGCCTAAAATTGGGGACTTAGTTTTAGTTAAGGAGGATGATCTTCCTCCAGCGAAATGGCTTATGGGTATTATTATAGAAAAACATAAGGGTGTGGACAATATTACGCGGGTTGTGAGTCTCAAATGCAAAGATGCCATAATTAAAAGGCCTATTGTAAAATTGTGTGTCTTGCCAGTGGCAGAATAAGGCCTACTTTTTTATTCTCTTTCGTGTCAGTCAATGCTTGACACGTTTATTGTTATTTTCAAGCTTAAGTTGTTTTTTGTTTGGTGAAATGAGCATGTTGTAAATGTAAATGTTTAAATTAAATATCTTTGGATTCTTTATTTAATAAGATTTCTAGGATTTTAAAGATCCTATTTACCTATTTGTTTTTTGTTACCTATGCACCATGATTCAACCATTTGGATCTACCCACTTTCAAATTTTACCTTATCTATTTACAGTCCACTTTCGTTGATTGTTGATTCATGGTGGGCGGGAATAATGACCATTCTGGCCATGGTGGGCGGAATGTCTAGTTGTTACATAAATATCCACATTATTGTAGATTAAACTAATATCAATTCATTGTAAACAGATAGCTTCATAGTTTCCAACAACATTTAACACGGTATACAGTACGATTATTTTAGTTATAAAAACTCTCCATAGATGGCGCTATCCCTTTGTAAATCGCGCAACCAATTGATTCTCTTCGGAATCACAAGTTAAATATTATGTTATAGAAATAAATGTTCTGATCTCATCAATGAATGTTGGTGTTTTATTCAAGCACATTTATGTTATTGAGATATTCAATGTATTTTAATAACTGATTCTTGTTCATATTGCCTATTCTCCCAAAAAAAAATTATTAATATACTATTAGGGATAAATTTACTAGTTAAAATTTTATTCATAATATCACTGAATGATGCTCCAGGCATGCAGTAATTACTTATCTGTTGCCTTTTTAAACAGTTATTTAATGATATTCCCAAGTCTTTGCCTATGTCATCACTATACACAATAACATTTTTTTTTTCATTACATGAATTACTTTTTAAATTTACCTGTTTTGTTATGGTAATGTCATAGAATGTAGGTAAAGAAAATGAAGTATTACTGCTGTAGTATAGTGTGAACCGGAACTCCTTTTTACTGGAAACAAGGCATTCCTTGTTAGTCTTTAGGGGTGACAACGCATTCTGTTATTAATTGAGGATAAATGTAGATTTCTATAGGCAACAACATCCGCTTGCCATCAGATGGACTGTGTGCTCGTTTGTCACCCTTATTCTATAAAGAAAACGACTGTCAAGGATTAAATGGAAGTACCAAGTTTCTGCCTACCCCTCTAGGTGACCGGCGTTTGAGTTGTTATTATGTTTTTATATTTCAGGTATAATAACAAAATAAAATAATAGTAAAAGTTATTTAATTTATTAATGAGTCAAAATTTATTTTCATACAAATGATGTAAATATAATTATAAGATACAAATTCTGAAAGTGTTAGATATATTTTAGCTAAAACAAATATCTCAATATACAGCACGCAATTTGTGGCCAATTAGTTATTGTCTTTTGGTTAGAGGAATGAACAATAAAGATGAAAAGACAAGCAAATAATAATTACAACTTAACAATTTGAAAATGTAATTAATCATTCCAGTTTTCAGTAGTTGTTAATATTTATTGATAAAAACTTTGGCTTAGTAAAATAAAATACTATAAACTTAAATAAGTACAAACTTCTTGTTAAAAATATTTATGATATACCTTTTCCATGACTAGCAATATTTTTCTAATTAAGATTTATGTTAAATTAAGATTAATATTACGTGACTGCAATTAATTAAAAATATAACAAATACTTTTAATTCATAAGAAACCGTAATTAATTAGATATTTTACAAAATTATTTACGGCCTGTGCATTCAACAATAATAACAACAGAATAAGCATTTTTGAATCCACGTCAAGAATGTCGACCAGCTGCCACTCATGTTTTTTTCACTTGATAGTAATGGATGTAATAATATTTAAAACATTTTACGTTAAGAATCAAAATGCAAAAGGTGACGTCACCTTTGAGGACTAAGATTGAATGCCTCGTTTTCGGTAAAAAGGTCTTGAACCATACAGCTTAGTCTCTTGTGTATTTTATTTACTAAATTCTTTACAATATGATGATTCATCACATTGCAAAGTTTGTCGAAAATTTCAACGAAAGTTGAACTCAGTAGACAGTTGATAACGATAGAATTTCAAGCCATCCTAGTGAATAAAATCCTTGTGATTCATGTAAACATTTTAGCACTTGTTACATCGTTCTCTCTAATACTTTATGTGCACGGACATTAAATACTCTAAATTGCATCAAAACGCACCTCTAAGCATTATTTAAATGATAACGCAAGAGCAACAACCCACCGGCGGTCAAATTCTTAAACGTTAATAAAAAGAACCCCTTTGTCGTATCTCCTCAGTTTTAATGCACTCTCCTTGCTGCCTCAGCTAGCATCGGAATCCTCGGCGTCGACATATCGAATAGTGTGCAGTTTCGTGGTCACTTGGAGGGGAAGGCCAAACTGGCCTCTTAAAAGATTGGCGTGCTCAGCAGAGCGAGACAGTATTTCATGCCGGCACATCGCTTGCAACTATACAAAGCGCAAATCCGGCCTCACATGGAATACTGTTCTCATCTCTGGGCCGGGGCACTCTATTGCTTTTAAAAGGCCGACAACGCATCTGCAATTCCCCTGGTGTTGCGGTTGTTCATGGGCGGCGGTAGTCACTTACCATCAGGTGAGCCGCATGCTCGTTTGCCCCCTCTCCTTTAAAAAAAAGTTATTATTTGAATTTGTTAATTAGCAATAAATAATAGTACATAATATTTATAAAAGAAATTATAAATTTAAAAAAAATCCGATGTTAAATATTATAACTGACGTTTAATTATTTTATTTTATTACTAATGTTGGTATATACATATATATTATTATAATTACATATTAAAGATTGTAACAATCGGTTCTTTACTAAATATTGATTTAATTACATTTTAACATCTTTTTAACATCACTTCATAACTTTTTGGTATATATTACAGAGATCTTAAATTTATTTATATTTCAATAAAAATATTTTCTTCATAAAATTAAATTCAATAGATTTTAAATGACATAATGCATACCCGTAATTTATAACAAAATATATTTTTCTATGTATATTTGAACTTATTATTTACATCAACACATAAATATTTAACACCCACAGAAATTAGTTAAGGCTTGTGCCTAGCAGTGGGGTGTATATAGGCTGTTTTTTATGAATATTTAGATATTTAACGACGTAATCAATTATCTTATTATCTTTATGTTATTAAAATGTTGGTTTATAATCTTCACGAGATCTTGCCAATGATTTGTTCCCAGGTCTTAATCTTCTTCAGTGCATCTTTTGCTGCTGTCGCCATCAGACCTTCGGATGATTGTGGAGGCTCGAAGCCAAGAATTAACGCCGATTCTGTTAGATAACTTACAATCTAAAATTAAAAAAGACACAGTTAAATTATTGGCTTTTTTATGAATACGCGTTCCTTTGCATTGACTTTAATAATTCTTACCCACACAGTAGGATTTTCATAGGAGAAAAGAAACATATAGATATCGTGGGGTGTTTTACATAGATCCAGACAACCATCCATATTCGAATCCACGACCGAACCGTCCGAACCAAGCCTTTAGAATTAACTTTGAATAATAACGTTATTAACATTAATAATATGTTTTTTTTATATAGGATAGGGTGACAAACGAGCACACAGTCCACCTGATGGTAAGCGGATGCTGCTGTTCATAGATATCTACATTTATCCTCGATCCTCGATCAAAATACGACTCAATCCGTATGGATTGAGTCGTATTTTGATAGTTCTCTACACTCACCATACGAAACACAGCAGCATTAAGCTGCTATTTTACGCTGGTATTCTGTGAGAGCATGGTCCTACCCCAGTCGAGCCTACCCATTCGTGCTACAACCATAATATAGTTGCAGCGTGCCTCTATCACGTAAAAAAAAGGGAAAACTTCTTCATTTTCTGAAGTCGGTATTAAGACTTAATGTCACAGGATATAAGAACTATACGTAGAAGTATATCGAAGAATTATAAGTCTGACTTTTAAGTGAACTTATGAATGACTTTGAAGTGGACTAATGAATGACTTTTAAGTGAACTAATGAATGACTTTGAAGTGGACTAATGAATGACTTTTAAGTGGAGTAATGAATTACTTTTAAGTTGACTAATGAATGACTTTTAAGTGGAGTAATGAATAACTTTTAAGATGACTAATGAATGACTTTTAATTGGAGTAATGAATAACTTTTAAGTGGAAAAAATAAATATCACAAGTTCGAATGTCGTATATATAGTTACATTAAACACTTCATACCGTATTTTACCACCATTAGGGAATCGTGTAGTAGGGAAAAAGTCCCTACTACACGCTCAGTAGAAGAATATTCCCTACCTCATATCCATGGGTGTCGTAAGAGGAGACAAAGCAAAACAAGCCAGGGGATGGACAACAGCGGTTTCCTAATAATAGCTAAAAAATAAAAAGAGTGGCTGACAGCCCAACTGCCAAAATAGGCAACTATGGCAAATATCTCAAATCGGTTAAATATGAGGCAATCTATAGGAAAGCCTATTTTCAACAGTGGAACACAAATTGTTACTTTACAATTCTAAGCGCGTATACTACTAACCTCTTTAAGACGGCCACGTAAATTTTCTTTAGAAATTGCTTTCTTCTCAAAATCTCTTGTAGTGAGCACCATGAGCGGAGCGTGAAGCTCATATAAGGTTATCCCTGAAAACAAAGTTCCAAAATGTGTAAAGTGTACCTAAAAAAATACTGGAACAGGGGAAATCCCCGCCGGACAAATTTGAAAGCCGAGGGAACAACCAATGCTCAGTTTAGTATGGAATTTATTTCGAAATATATTCAAATATTTTATACGTGGTAGAGCCACGCTGCAGCTTTATATAGTTCAAGAATGGATCGGCTTGACCCAGGTAGGACCGCGCTCCCACAGATACCAGCGTGAAACATCAGAATGCTGCTTTGTTTCGTATGGTCAGTAAATAGATACTTTTTACTGGTAACGAGGCATTCCATCTTAGTCTTTAGAGATGATACCCAGCTGTATTTTAATTCATGGTGATAGATGTAGGTGTCTATGATTCACAGCATTCACTTACCGTCAGTTAAGTGTGACCGTTTGTCACCCTTATTCTTTAAAAAAAATCAGTGTTGTTAGGAAATTTCAATAATGTGATTTTGGCTTCGATTGTTATACGGTCCGTTTAAGTGTTTATTGCATGATAGCGCTACCACAAACTATTTGTACCGTGGGTGTGTCGCAATGCAATTTGCCATAGATAGTATTATAGTTATCTCGTTGGTGACCGTAATATGTGAAGTACGGACGACTGATGGCAAGAAAGTGGAAATGGTGTAAGAATATCCCAATTATTCTTTGAAAAAAAAAGTAAATCTTACCCCTTAACCTGGAATATCCTGGCTCAATAAAATCGAACACCTTCATCAACTCCCTGCATACTTCAATCTTCCTGTTCAGTTGCTGGTCGGTCATCTCGTGTATCATGTAGTCGGTCACCTTTCCGTACAGCTGGCTGAGCGAATGCAGTGCCGACAGACATAGATAGTGCGCGTCGTGTAAGACGTTGCGGTATTTGTGCAGGAAGCTCTCGAAGCCAGGGACGTCATTCGCGTCTATTTGTTCAAATTCATCCGACAGTCTGATAAACAGAAGTTGAATCAACGATTAATTTGTTTAACGTAGTAGAGCCACGCAGCTTATAGCTGCTGCACGTATAGGTCGGCTAGATTGGGGAAGAACAGCTTAATGCTTCTGTTTCGTATGGTATGTGTAGAGAACCGGAGACCCTTTTTAATGGAAACGAGGCAATCCATCTTAGACTTCAGGGGTAACACTGCATTTGCATTTTGATTTTACGTGGTAGAGCCATGTTGCAGCTATATTAGTAGTATAGTCGTAGCACGAATGGGTCGGCTCGATCGGGGAAGGACTACGCTCTCACAGAATACCAGCGTAAAATAGCAGCTTAACGCTGCTGTGTTTCGTATGGTGAGTGTAGAGAACCGGAGACCCTTTTTACTGGAAAAGAGGCATTCCATCTTAGTCCTCACGGGTGACAACGCATCTGCATCTTTAGTCTTTATTGAGGATAGATGTCTATGGGCCACAGTAACCACTTATCATCAGGTGGAATGTGTGCTCGTTTGTCACCCTAACCTATAAAAAAAATTTATTATTGGATTTAAAGTACTTTATAGAATCAGACGTTACTTTGCGCAAATCCATTATATTAAAGATGTTAAAAATGAATTAGCTAACATCCACGCAGTAAAATAATTGTGTAGTCGACTAATCCCAAGACCTCTAGTCTTGGGATTAGTCGTGACAGGGATAATGCAATTGAGGGAGGGCGGAAGCTGCTCTTAAAACGATCACGACACATCACACATTTCTAACAGTGGTAGAGCCACGGGGCAGGTTTAACTGTCGCACAGATGGGCCGGCTCGAACCGGGGTGGTACCACGACCTCACAGAAAACCAGCGTGAAGTAGAGGTTTACCTCTGCGTTTCGCTTGGTGAGTGCAGGTGGCCGGAGGCCCTTTTTACTGGAAATGAGGCATTCCATCTTAGTCCTCACGGGTGACAACGCATCTACTTTTTGATTTGTAATAGAGGATAGATGTAGATGTCTATGGGCCGCAGCAACCACTTAGCATCAGGTGGACTGTGAGCTCGTTTGTCACCCTTATCCTATAAAAAAAACATCATTTTATTTTGCTACACTGCTCTTAGATAATAAATTTTTAACATCTTTAACTGAAAGTACTGATTTGCCACATTTCAGCATATGGGAAAACATCGTAAGTGAACAAGAAATGTTTCAAGTACATGCTAAAAATTAGAGGATTAGAAAGAGGTCATCGATTGCGTCGATCTCTCTAAAATTAAAACGAGCCTGTCATGTAAAGTGTTGAAGCGCCTGATAAAATTTATTAGCAGTTTTTCATTTTAATATCCGTTCGTAAGTTTCAGTACATTTACAAAACTTTTGTTCTTCATTGTCTTGAAGATTAATGATAAATATAATATTATAATCAAAATGAATCGACAGTAGCCTATTGGTATGTGGACTGAAATTAGAGTTTTGGATTTGAATCAGCCATTTGACTACTGCGGTAAATCACTATCAGCACAAGCATTTTTAAGCTTGTTTAGAATGGTTAAGGACATAAATTAGTAACGTTAATAGCGTTTCTAGTAGTCATTTTAAAAAATGTAAAAGAAATTAAAAGTACCGATTTAACAAATTCTTAATTTAAAAATTTCCTATTCATATATAATTGGTAATGTTACAGCCTATATGCGTCACATTCCTGGGCACAGGTCTCCTCTGATTTTTTTTATAACTGACTTTACAGCTCTGGGTTCTAGCCCTTCTGCGCCTAAAGTTACAATGTATAATTATCCTTCATAGTACACTGCTTCACAATATGTTGATGCGTTACATTGTGTAGTCCTTGGGAGATTTTGACGGCAACTTGAGCCAGCAGACAGCTTACAGTTGGCGATGTTATCTCAAGGCGCCTAAGTAGACCTTCATCGCCTTATCTTGAGAATCAAATCATCATCAGAGTACTTGTTTCACCGTTTCCACTAATAGTTCACATCCGCAGACACTTATTGCACAAAACCACACCACTTTTACATAGCAAAACACTCACACACACACACACACACACACACACACTCACCCAGAGGGGTGTGCCGAGACTACGGACTTCCATTTGGCGCGATCCTGACACACCTCTCTCACCTCCTTTACATCCATATATCTACGCATACACGCTCGTCGGTTAAGGGTACTCCGAATCTGGCCCATTTTTAATGTATCGCCGATTTGGTCGATAAACCTTCATCTAGGGCGTCCCTTCCCGACCCTACCGTTCACTTCTGCAACATAAATTTGCTTTGTCACTCTTTCCTTGTTCATTCTTTTTACATGACCAAACCACCGAAGCATTCCTTTCTTAATCCTTGTCACATCAACATTTTGCAAACCACACTTTTCTCTTATCACACTATTTCTCATCCTTTCATTCAGATTCAGCCTTAGCATACTACTTTAGGACCGCATTTCTGCAGCATTTATTCTATTCTCATGCTTCTTCTGCCAGAGCCAACTTTCACTACCATACTTTAAAGTAGGGACTAACACAGCATTATGAATTGCCATACGTGCCTTATTTGACACATTCTGACTCCTCATAATAGCGTGTAGAGCCCCATTCACTCTTTTTCCAGCGTTCACTCGTCGTTCTATATCCTCATATTATCTAGCATCCCTGCTAAATAAACATCCCAAATATACAAACTCATCCACTTGCTTTTATTTTTCACATAAAGTTTTACTTTCTTCTCTTTCAAAAACCATCACTTTTGTCTTACTTGCATTCACTTTCATACCCCTTTCTTTCAACGACCAGTTCATTAAAGTAACCATCATTTGCAACTCGGCCGCCGACGATGCAAATATGACTTGATCATCGGCGTACAAAAGGCATTTGACGGTTAACTCACCCATTCTCAACCCACATTCTTCAACTTTCAAAGTTTGCAAACAACTGTCCTAAAAAAGGTTAAACAGCCACGGGGAAGCCACACATCCCTGTCTGACACCTTTATGAATGCCGAACCAGTCCGAGTAGACCCCGGTTGATCCTGACACAAGCACTAGAGTCCCTATAAAGAGACCTTAATGCCTGTATCAAGCCAGCGCTCAATCCAAATATGTTGAGTGTTTGCCATAACACATTCCTGTCCATTCTGTCATAAGCCTTTTCCAAGTCCATGAACGCACAAAAAACTTTCTGGTTTTTGGCCAAAAATTTCTCCGCAATCATGCGCATGGAAAAGACTTGATCGTACACCCCATCCCCTTTCTGAATCCAGCTTGCACATCCCAAATTTTTCCATCAGTTTCTTCCATAACTCTTTCAATTAACACCTTAGCATACAGTTTACCCACAATGCTAAGCAAGCTGATACCACGGTAGTTTTTACAGTCTTGCTGCCAGTCCTTTCCCTTATATATTGGGACTATAACGGCTTTGCACCAGTCTTCCGGTACACGCTTCAGTTCCCAACATAAATTAAACAAGGTGCACAGCAGGCCTGCAACCACACCCTCTCTAGCCCTTAGCATTTCGAATGATATTCTATCATATCCGGCTGCCTTCTCTGCCTTCATGCTTTTCATTGCTTTCATTATTTCATCTACACTTATCTCCCTACCTCTCTCCACTTCTTCTGGAATTGCTATTTCACTTACTTCAGACGACTCTTCACTCTTAAACACGATTTCAAAGTATTCCTCCCATCTCTTTAAATTCGAAACTTCATCATTCAGCATGCAGCCATTTTCGTCTCGTATAGCATTCATTCTAGGCTGTTTTGAATTTCCTCTGGCAGTTCTTAAGAATTTCCAGAACATTTCAATATTTTCCTGGAAGTTATCAGATATCCTTCTATCATTCTTACCTATCCTTTCTTGCTTTTTCCTTTCAACAACTTCTTTTACTCTCTTATTTATACGTCTAAAGTCTGCCTTTTTTTCTTTCAATCTCATCATTCATACCGCCAGAATTACCAGCTTTGGTTGCTAGTAAATCTAGCCATGCTCTTTTCTTTGCTTCAACTTCCATCCGTACCTCATCATCCAACCACAACGTATTACTTTTCCTTTCATTCGTTCTCTTACTTACTTCACATACTTCGGTGGCTGCATCCACCAAAACTTTCTTAATATTATTCCGTACATTCTTCAAGTCTAAATCATTCATGCATAATTCATTCAACGCACTTATATTTTCCCTCAGTCTGCATTTATACTTCTCTTTCACACCTTCATCTTGTAACCTCTCTATTTTTATACGCTGTAACGCAGTGGTAGACACAGATGTCCGATGCCGCCAACGCCTGAATAGACCATTAATTCGGCATAATACCAAGTAATGATCCGTCCCTACGTTGGACCCCCGGTAAACCCTTGTATCTACCACTGCGCTCCTCATTCTTTCATCCACAATTATGAAATCTATCATGCTTCTCTCATCCCCTCTTTCCCATTTATACATGTGAATCCTCTTATAGCGAAAGGAAAAAGAAAAAGATTTTTTTCTACACATACGGTGAGGAGGTCTTCACCATTATCATTTATTTTTTCATCGCCAAACGTTCCTAATATCCTTTCATAACCTCCTAACATAATAATATTTTCATTTTCCTTACATTTTATCAACACCAGCCTTACCATGTCCCAAAACTGCTCTCGGATATAAGTGGGCTTAGACATGTCTGGGGCGTACACCCCTAGCACAAAACAACTTCTTTAAGCCCACTTTCATTCGTATCCACAGCAGCCTTGGGCTTACACATTCATACTCTTTCACACATTGACCCATTCTATCTGAAAGGATGACACCGACTCCCTGGCATGCCCGCTCGGTCTCGTCTACACCAGACCAGTAAGCGGTATACATGCCATGTGCAGTGACATCTCTTCCCTTTCGTTTTTTTTATAGGATAAGGGTGACAAATGAGCACACAGTCCACCTGATGGTAAGTGGTTGCTGCGGCCCATAGACATCTATATCTATCCTCTATTACAAGTCAAAATATAGATGCGTTGTCACCCCTGAGGACTAAAATGGAATGCCTCATTTCCAGTAAAAAAGACCTCCGGCCACCTGCACTCACCAAGCGAAACGCAGAGGTAAACCTCTACTTCACGCTGGTTTTCTGTGAGGTCGTGGTACCACCCCGGTTCGAGCCGTGCGACAGCAAAAGCTGCCGCGTGGCTGTTGAAATCGTTTCGTCTCGTTTACGCATAACGCATCTATTCCTCTATCATTCATCATTTCGCATACTTCATTCATTTTATCATTCATTGCTCCACATACATTCAGCGTAGCCAGACGGGCATCTGCAATCCACTTTTCGCCCCTCCGGGAGACAGGACGTGACGGGTGGCGAACCTCATCGCCGGTTTTTCTCCCGGAGATTCTTCACACCACTGCCCCATTAAAGGGGCGCCGGAAACTCGGGGCCATTTCTTTTATTTCTTGGCTCATGGTCCGAACTAAGTAGTGGTAGATTTTACGCCGCTACTATACAGCGAGAAGCCGAGTCTATTCTATCGGCTTTGTCGGCTTTGTCGGCTTGGTCGCTCGTTTAGCACCACCCGGGGGACACGTGTAGGGTGGGCTTAGGATTAGGTGGTCGAAGCCTACGGACGCGAGCGACTCATACACTTCAAACCATTATTTAAAGAATAATACAGGAGCAGCAATCCGACGCCGGTCAAGTTCCCGCCAAAACTCCCGTCTCCTCTGATTGCAGAGAATGTTACAGAGTAACTAATCTACCGCACTGCTCCAGTGCAGGTTGTCGGATATCATACATTCTGAAAATATTTTATTCCCCAGACATGTAGTTTCCTCACAATGTTTTCCTTCACCGCCGAGCACATGGTCATTCAGCACTTAAATTTCATTGGCGCCGATTAGGATCGAACCTGTGTTGCTTACGGACCATGGGATTATGGCCATACTGCAGTTATATTAGTAGTATAGTTGTAGCACTAATAGGTCGGCTCGACCGGGGAAGGATGTTCTCACAGAATACCAGCGTAAAATAGCAGCTTAATTCTGCTGTGTTTCGTATGGTGAATGTAGAGAATCTGAGTCCCTTTTTACTGGAAACGAGGCATTCCATCTTAGTCCTCATTTTCATTTTTTGTAGTCGAGGATAGATTTAGTTGTCTATGGGCTACAGCAACTACTTACCATCTGGTGGACTATGTGCTCGTTTGTCACCCTTATCCTGTAAAAAAATACGTCGAGGACGTTTAATAATAAGTTGTAAAAATATGAAATTGAATCGATTAAATGACATTACAAGATGTATCCGTCAAGTTTTTTTATAGAATAAGTGAACGAGCACACAGTCCGCCAGATGGTAAGCAGCTACTGTGGCCCATAGAAATCTACATCTATCCTCGAATAAGAATCAATATGCAGATGCGTTGTAACCGCTGACGACTAAGATGGAATGCCTAGCTAGTATCCAGTAAAAAAGGTCCCCGGTTCTCTACACTCATCACATGATACACAGCAGCATTAAGCTATCATTTTACGCTGGTATTTTGTGAGAGTGTGCTCCTCCCCGGTCGAGTATAATATAGCTGCAACATGGCTCTACCACGTACAAGATACTGTTTATACAATTTGTTTGACACTGGTAATTTAAACTGATCGTAAAGTAGTAATGTCCTGTAAAGTCCTGTATAGAAAATGGAAATAGAAATACATACACTTTTCATAATAATTTACTTGTTTACCTCTTAAGTAACATTTGGACTGCCACGGCAGGCATAGTGTAACTACACCCAGAATCAGTGCATCGCCAAGGTGCGTGAGGTTCCAATGGCGCAGTAGACAACACTCTGGCACCGCACTTGGGGCAACGGAATGCACTGCAGTAAGTTCCCAGCTCAGTTGGGTCTGCACAACGCTTGCACGAGCAATCGAAGAACTTGCTCACTTTGATGTGTTCCCGACGTTTCAAAGTACCCTGGAGTTAAACTAAATATTTTAGGGTAAGCTTTAAAATGGAAACTTAACGTTCACAATTCCATGACCCACATATGGGTCATGGCTATTGTCTTACTATTGTGTTTGAAAACCAGACAGTGAAAGTGTTAAATATGAATTGAAATTATGACCAACTGTTAAACATGAGAAATTTACACATGCTAGATACTGTGTACTTTAGTAGTAGAGCCACACTGGGCTGTATTATTGCTGCAAGATGAATTAGTCGGCTCGACTGAGGAAGGAGCACACTCGCACAGAATACCAACATAAATGGCAGCATATTACTGCTTTTTTTATTTGGCGAATAACGACAACCGGAGACCCTTTTTACTGGTCACGAGGCATTCCATCTCAGTCCTCAGGGGAAACAACGCATCTACATTTTGATTCTTAATTATGGATAGGTGAGGTGTCTTTGGGACACAACATCCACTTGCAATCAGGTGGACCGTGTGCTCGTTTTTTATCATTATTGTCACCCAAAACACTCTCATTATTGTCCACCGCGATGCCCTAATGGCTGTTAGTAGACTTCATATCATGTCTTCGAAATTGAATTTATTTTTTATTATTCATTATTGCAAGTTTCCTCAAGATTGTCTCCTTCGTCGTCGAGCATGTGATAAAGCAGTACATAAAAGTGAAATTAACAATATCACTGGTCCTGACGGGAATTGAACCCGTGTTGCGCGCGAACTGTTAAACTTACACCGTGCGCTTAGCTCGACATTTATAGGATGACTAGCTGTCCCTCGCGACTTCGTCCGCGTGGAATTTACTACGATTTCAAGGGTTTTAATTTTTTGCACGGAACCCTGATTCTTTTTCTAAAATAAAAGTATCCTAAGTTACTCCTTATAACATCAGCTACCTGTGACCTGTGAAAGTCCCGTCAAAATCGGTCCAGCCGTTTCGGAGATTAGCCGGAACAAACAGACAGAGAGACAGACAAACAAAAATGTTAAAAATCGTGTTTTTGTTATAAGTATATACTATATACTTACGTATATACTTTCGAGTCGATTGGAAGTATTAATAGGCCAGAGTAGCCGCTAACCATGAGATGGACTGTACATAAGATCGTTTATCACTTCAATTTTATAAAGAACACCAGTCGATTGACATACGATTGCAATTTATATGGTCTGTGAACTTTAATGACCAAACTGTAGCAAGGGCGTGAAAGAATCCATCACAATCCATTTTGTCCACTCAGTGAGGCGGTTATGAAAAATCCGAGATACCTCATCGCTTCCTATATAAATTAAATTTGTACATGATAGAGTTCACGTTATTCCATCTTAGTCCTCACGGGTGACAACGCATCTACATTTTGATTTGTAATAGAGGATAGATGTAGATGTCTATGGGCCGCAGCAACCACTTACCATCAGGTGGACTGTGTGCTCGTTTGTCACCCTTATCCTATTAAAAAAAAACCTAATTTTTATTTTGTTTAGTACCTTTATCGTTAAAGTATTCTCATTTGCAACATCCGGCCAGCCGTCCAGTACCATCTAGAGACGGCGAAGCCGGCCTTGCTCTTTTTAACCGAGACTCAGGTTATGAGAGATATGAAGTATCAACCGGAGAGGACCGGTTGATACTTCATATGTCTCCTACCCGGGGTACAAACTAGAACACTCCTTTGTGCCCCGGTCTGGAGTTTGCGTATACGTCAGAGAGGACATCTGTTTTCGAAGCCTCGGCAGTCTTGAAGGTACGGACCTGTCCATCCTATGGCTGCGCGTAGACAGCCACGACCATCCCCGCGCCTACGGGTGCCACTATAAGTCCCATAGCGGTAATGCCGACACAGTACTCATCGACCAAGTCCAAATGGCTGCAGATTCCGTGCTACAACAGGTCCCATCCGCAGAGATCGTAATACTCGATGATTTTAACTAGCTATATTATAGTTGTAGCACGAATGGGTCTGCTCGATAGGGGAAGGACCACGCTCTCACAATACTAGCGTGAAACAGCAGCTTAATGCTACTGTGTTTCGTATGGTGAGCGTAGATAACCGGAGGCCCTTTTTACTGTGAAACGAGGCATTCTATCTTGTCCTCAAGGGTGACTTAATCGAGGATAAATGTAAATATCTATGGGTAACATCATCCACTTACCATCAGGTGGACTGTATGCTCGTTTGTCACACTTTACTATTTAAAAAAAAAAACATCTCATTTACACCAGACTTAAATACCCAGATAAGAGACGAGGAGTAGTGTCACACACAAAGGTGTGTGATGTCTGGTACTGCGATGTCCATGAGTAGACTTCTAAGTGCTGATAAAGAAAGCGAAAAGAAGTTAGTTCCAATACACCCATAATTACCTTCTACCTCACCTGCAACGTATAAGCATAGCACAATGTGATCAGGTCACCGGCTTTATGCGGAATGGAAGCACGCACCGTGAGGGGTCTTCCCACCTTCTTTTCTGCGTCAGTGTGCGTGGTTGTTGGGGTGCAGTCGTGAGCAAGGAGGTATGCTTTGTCGTATAAAGCCCGTGCGTTCGCACCACTGCCACCTACTTCGAACGCGTTTACCTATAATGAAAAAAAATGGTATGTCACATAAGTAAATGGTATGTCACATAAAAACACTTTAAGAAGTTATTGATAAAAAGGGAATAATAATTCCTCGTTGATATAGTTAAATTAATAACAAGAGAGCATAATATTGTTGCGCACCAATATTAATGTCTTGTACATGGCAATACTAGTTCCCACTAGCGCCCTCTAGTGCCGATTAGCAGAACTAGGAGAGTCAAGATCCTTCTAGAAATTTCGGGACCGATATGTATTCGAACATTCTAGATGTCCCTACAGTAGGAGGTTCTGGAAACTATCTGAGGCCCTATATAAGGCCGGTATAGACAACGACTGAGTCAGTATTGAATTGGCGATACAAGAGAATTCTTCGAAGCGAAACAACTGCGAACTTAAGTGATCAGTAGTACAATTATGTTTTATTATTAGTGTGGTTTCAGATTGTAATTAGTGTTGTGTAATTAAAGTGTCAATTTTGGTAATTCAATCGGCAGTTTTTAATTGTCTCGAACCCCAAGCTCGTAACAATTGGTGTCAGAAGTGGTATCAAATCATGCCGATTTTACCAAAGGACGACATGGAGGGTATCCGTACCCGAAGTCAACGCCAGCTGGAGATGGACCTGACACGATTTGGTAATGCATCACCGCAAACGTCGGAGGGCCAGCTACCGACCACGGAGGCCAGCCCGTCAGCAACTCCTGCATCTGCAGCACCTGACTTAGGTGCTCTGATGATTATGCTGCAGGAGCAGGCCCGCCGAAGGTCCGCCGACAGGAGAAACAGGCCCGTCGGTTGGAAGAGCAGCTGCGTTGCGGTATGGAAGAGCAGATGCTCCTCAGGAAGGACCTTCACGCTACCTTCGGGAAAGAGATAAGGGAGGTGAAGGATAGGGTAGCTCAACATGACAACCGCCTGTCGGAAGCTGAAACTCAAATCGACCGAGTGAACAATCGGGTTGACAACGTGATGGCTGACGTGAAGAAAACGCTGGACGACCTCAAACTTGGGGATGGAATTATAGCTCCCGTGGTAGCTACAACACCTTCGCTACGTGGATTCAAAGTGCCACCGTTTGACGGGACTTCTTCCTGGTCGGCCTACAAAATCCAGTTCGAGGCTGTCATGAAGGCCAACGGCTGGAATAAAAGTCAGGTCATGACTGCTCTCACCCTAGGCCTGCGCGACCAGGCCTTAACTGTTCTGGAAGCTCTCTGTGAGGAAGTGACTTACGAGCAGCTCCTTGAGGCGTTGGAGGCGAGATATGGCGACGCTCACCTGTAATACCTCTTTCGTGCGCTGCTCAACGATCGCGTGCAACGCAGCTACGAAAACCTGCAGCAGTGGGCCCTTGAGGTGGAGAAGCTGGTTCGGAAAGCATACCAGTCTGTACCTGCGCTCATTGTAGGGAACCTGGTGCAGACATTCATCGATGGCATCCGCGACCTTGAAGTCAGAGCTGCTGTGAGGCTCGGGAACCACGAGACGCTTAAGGACGCGTTGGCCCATGCACTGGAGGTGGAAGCCGTGCGGCAGGATCATCGTTTCCATCGCGTCAGGGAGGTTTTAACAGCTACAGTTCGCGACCGCAATAAAGGATATAGCCCTAGGTACTACGGCTGTGGGAAATGGGACCATCTTCGATCCAGCTGCCCTAAACGAGCTGTAGAAAGGGAAGGTGAACGATCTCGAGAGGGTAGTGCGGCTAACAGCACCGCTTAGCTGCATCTGCAACGAGTAAGAGCCAGGACTGCGGGGCGTGTGCTGGTTGATGTAAAAGAGCCCCAAGGATTTCGATTTCACAAACCCATGATGGGAACAGTCTAATCATCAAGGGCGAGGTCAACGGAATGCCTTGTAAACTGACCATAGACACTGGAGCCATCTCGCACAGTTGTCAGTTCCCAACTTATAAGTCAGTTCCTTGGGGACTCCGCATACAACCGAGAACGCATTAATTTGGTGACAGCCACCGGTCAGCGCATACCCGTCCGTGGAGAGAAGGAGATGGAGTTAAAGCTAGGCAACATGATCTACCTGCATAATGTCATCGTGGCTGATATAATGGACGACTGCATCCTGGGCCTAGACTTTATGAGGAAGAATTGTTGTGAGATCGACGTTAAGCAAGGTGTTTTGAAATGTGGACAAGAGGAACTTTTCGTGGAATGGGCATACGGGAATGTGTACAGGCTTAGAAAGATTGTTCTTCCGCCGAGATCGGAAACGATTGTGCCGGTTGGACTTCCTCGGAATCCTGGGCAAACTCTTCGTTGTGTACTCGTGAAAAGGATAGACAATGATCTATCTCGCCGATATCTCAGGAGTACGTGTGCTGAACCTTTGTGATCGGGAACAGATTATAGAAAAAGGCACATTGGTTGGTACTAGTGAGGAAGTGGATTGGTTGCATCGGTGCCAATATCTATCGACTTGGACCCCCAGAAGGATGGACAAACGAGAGTGACCACACTTTTAGAAGACTGTCGCAGCGTTCTCTCCTCGAATGAAATGGTCAAGGCGCAGAAGTTGTTACTCAAGTACACCGATGTTTTCTCGTCAAACGAAGCTGACATAGGAAAGACTGGCTTAGTTCAACACAAAATAAATACAGGAGAAGAATTGCCTATCCATCAGCGGCCAAGAAGATTGCCTGTAGCACGTGAAAAGGAAGGGGAAACCATGATTGAGGGAATGGTGAAGGATGGTGTTATTGAACCTTCATCTAGTCCATGGTGTTCACCTGTGGTGCTGTTAAAGAAGAAGGACGGCAGCATGCGGTTTTGTGTTGAATACCGCCGTCTGAACGACGTTACGAAAAAGGACAGCTATCCCTTGCCAAGAATTGATGACACGCTGGACATGCTTACAGGAGTAAAGTGACTTAGTACGCTGGCCTGAAAAGTGGCTACTGGCAGGTTGAAATTGACCCTAAGGACAAGGAGAAAACTGCATTCTCCACAGGAAAGGGTCTCTGGCAATTTAAAGTCATGCCGTTTGGATCGTGCAATGCTCCAGCAACATTTGAAAGGTTGATGGAGCTTGTACTTACCGGGCTAATTGGAGATGCCTGTCTGGTCTACTTGGATGACATCATCATCGTAGGTCGTACGTTTGAAGAACACCTTCAAAACCTGGAACGCGTGCTCATGAAGATCCAGAGTGCCAACCTCAAGTTGAGTCCGAACAAGTGCTCACTATTCAAACGGCAAGTTAGCTTTTGGGGGTATGTAGTGTCGGAAGAAGGTATCCGCACGGATCCAGAGAAAATTGCTGCTGTATGGATTGGCCGGTTCCAAAAGACAAGACACAGGTTAGAGCATTTTTGGGCTTGTGCTCCTATTATCGGCGATTTGTGAAGAACTTTGCAGATATAGCCAAACCTCTGCACAAGCTAACCGAGGAGAAGCGACATTTCTGCTGGAATGAAAGTTGCGCTATTGCATTCCAGGAGCTCAAGAACCGTGTGTGCAAAACACCCATTTTGGGGTACCCTGATGCGGGCAAGGAATTTATAGTTGACACAGATGCAAGTGATATAGGACTTGGCGGTGTGTTGTCTCAACATAATGGTGATCAAGAGATTGTGATAGCGTACTTCAGCAAGTCGTTGTCAAAGCCGGAAAGGAACTATTGTGTCACAAGACGGGAATTGCTTGCTGTGGTAAAGTCCATGCAGCATTTTAGCAAATATCTTCTGGGGCGGAAATTCGACTTAAAAACTTACATCAAAACCAAACTGGAGAAGGGTTGCTCAAGATAGGCAAGAACGTAAGTCGTTGGAGGAGACCTTTGCCAATAGGCACACCGAACTAAGACAGTTTGAAGCTTCTTGTATTTTTAGTTTTAATGTTAATGTTATAAGATTGGGATTTAGGGTCTTATTATTATTACTACATAATTTAAACAAACGTTCGAAATTTATCCTATTAAAATTAACACTACTAACACTAAAAACAACGTAGGAGAAGCGACCTCATACCCTTTTTTTATTTTATATCCACTAGTTCTTACATCGTATGAATTGATTCATATACCTGTGGGGAATTTTTACTCACGTAATAATAATATTAACTTCAAAAAGGAGCCGGTACTCAATTCGACTGTAGTTTTTTTTTTTTTATATATATATATATGTTACCTCATAACTTTTTACTGCGTGAAACGATTTCGATGATTCTTTTTTTATTTGAAAGCTGATGCTTCACATATGGTCCCATATGAATTTGATCAAGGTCTGACTTATAGTTTTTGAGTTATTCTTAATAATTTATATTGAAGTCGGTTGTACAAAATTTTTAACTCTTAATTATTTCTTAAAAACTAATCTGTCTACATCTAGTATAACATTTTCCAGATACAATTAACATACCTCTAGTATTCCGCATACTGTGTGTATTTCTTCATCCTCGTATTTGAGCCCCCACTTTTTAATCCTTTGCACTACGTTTTTCTCATTCATGGGCCAGATATCGCCTCTAGCTCGTCGCAACTCGTTATGAGCCTCCATGGTTGATACTGCTTTCCACTTTTCCAGATCTTCTGTTTTCAATAGCAAACATCTGAAATTGTAATTTTTTCCATAGATTTTTTTTTTTTCAAAAATTGGCATGCTTTCTTGGAAACATCTCTTCCAATTAGTTGAAATTTTTTATTTAGATAATGGTTTACTTTCCACATTGATCTAGATTGGTGTCATCTCTGAAAAAATTATATTTTTACCCGATAATTATACCCAAATAGGCATATACATTTTTTTGCATATATATATATATATATATATATATATATATATATATACATACCGTTTAACATAATACACTAACATCTAGATGCGAAAGAGAATAATAAATGGCCATTTTGGGCCAAAACTAAACACGTAATTATACTTTCACTACAACCTACAACAGTTTTATTTATTTGGTTATCTCGTGGTTGTCTGTATTAAGTGGTTGTATGACTGCATCACAAATTGGTCTGCTAATCGGGAAAGACCACCTTACAGAAAACGAGAGAGATCTGTAATGTGATTTTTATTAAGAATAGATATAGGTGTCTACTGGTTAGAGCATTTGTCGGCTTGACCGCAGAATGTCAATATTTATACAATATGGGATTTTTAACAGTAACGATTACTTCGTTACCGTTAAAAATCCCATGCTAGATGTCGAGGGTGATAACGCTGTATTTTTGACACAGATTAGATATTTTGATTCTAAATCAAAAATAGATGTGTAAAAATAGGTGTGGGATGTCGGCCTAGAGGCCATATCATCCACTTGCCTTCAGGTGAACTATAAACTTTTTTATGTTAAAACTTTACCCCCCACACTAGGATTTTCTGTTTACATACATAAATTGCACAAGGACAATATCTTACCCGATTATTTGTAGGCCATACAAATACTTGTTCCGTAAGGGATTCGAACTTGCGGCCCTCAGCGCCTCACCTCAATGCTAAGCAACTGCGCCACGGAGCCGTCATCTTTATGCTCATATGTCACATTGACTTGTATGAAAACCGGCCAAGTGCGAATCGGACTCGAGCATAAAGGGTTCCGTACCATCGTAATACACGTTTCTAGTAGGGAAGCCACTTTTAATTATTAACTTATTTTAATTCTTATTATTTGCTGTTATAGTGGCAACAGAAAAACAAATTATATGAAAACTTGAACTGTCTACCTATTACCGTCATGAAATACAGCCCGCTGACAGATAGACGGACGAACGGACGGACGGATGGACAGCGGAGGCTTAGTAATCCCGGTCCCGTTGGTTACCTTTTGGGTACGGAACCCTAAAAATGATGAAGTCCCTCTGGTGCAGAAGATACCTACCTCAGAGGAGTTAAAGCTTGGTAGGAATCTTTCAAATCTTCAAGGTTACTGTAATCAGGTGGGATGCTCTTCAATGTTTTGCACTCGTAGGAGGAATGTCCCGTATATTTGCCTTTCCCTGGACAGGATTCACTGCACATTGGCCACTTGCATCCTTTGCATCTGAAACAAGAATTTTAATCTAGTCACCCAAGGTGTAAACCACCAGTATATGTCTGAAGCCAGTCCATAAATTATGCAGTAAAAGTCACAAACAAAGAGTCTGACTTTCTGTAGGTTTTCACAAACCAGTGGTTGACTATTATCCTACATGCTGTTAAGAGGTGATGTAGCCTAAAATGTGAAAGTGATCTCACTTAGTCTAAGAAAAGCCTATTTACTCCTATTTTTCTACCGACTTCCAATAGGAGACGGTACTCAATTCGACTATATGTTTTTATTATGTGTGTTACTTCATAACTTTTTACTGGGTGAACCGATTTCGATGATTCTTTTTTTATTTGAAAGTTGGTGCTTCACATGTCGTTCCATATGAATTTAATTAAGGTCTAACCAATAGTTTTTGAGTTACCTATATCGTCCCGTGAGTATCGTAAAAGGCGACGATGGGAAACAAACCAGGAGATAAGCAGCTTATGCCTTCCTAATAATAATTACAACATAAATATCTATGGTTACCAACTCGTGCCAAGTTTGGAAATTATGGCAACGGACCCCCCCTCCCTCCCCCCCCCCCCCCCCCCACGAGGCAATCTATTGGTGAGGCCTATGTTCAGCAGTAGACTTTTGATAGGTTGTAATGGATGAATGATAAACAATTGCTATTTAAGACTTTAACTACATTTTTTAATAATATTTTTAAAAAGATTTTTAGAGCCGTGCTGCAGCTATATTAGTAGTATAGTTGTAGCACGATTGGGTCTACTCGACCGGGGAAGGACCACGCTCTCACAGAATACCAGCGTAAAGTGGCAGCTTGACACTGCTGTGTTTCGTATAGTGAGTGTAGAGAACCGGAGACCCATTTTAATGGAAAAGAGGCGTTCCATCTTAGTCCTCACGGGTGACGACGCATCTGCATTTTGATTCTTTCTTTGATTGAGTCTATAGGCCACAACAAGCACTTATCATTAGGTAGACTGTGTGCTCGTTTGTCAACCCATGTTATAAAAAAATCCTACAAAAATATGTCAGCCTTTTCGTACCATATCTTATTCCTGTTATACATAAATCTAGATTATTAACAGGAAGGACGATTGGGAGAGATTAATTGTGACAGGAATATAGAAATTATATTCAATTTGCCACCTCTGGGTATGACTTCGCAAGTATTATTAAAACCCATTATTCCACCTACCGTTACCATAACAATCTATTAAAGCCCACTGCTAAACGTAGGCCTTTCCTATAGATTGCCTCATAGGGGGATATTTAGCATAGTCGCCACGCTAGGCAAGCGGGTTGGCAACTGAATTTTATTTTTTTGTCGTTATTAGGAAGACGCTGCTGTCCATCTCTTACGACATCCACGGGATGATATAGGGCTAAGGTAGTCCACCTGATGGTAAGTGGATGCTGTGGCCCATAGACATTTACACCCATCCTCAATTAAGAATCAAAATGCATATGCGTTGTCACCCCTGAGGATGAAGATGGAATGCCTCGTTTCCAGTAAAAAGGGTCTCCGGTTCTCTTACACTCACATACGAAACGCAGCAGCATGAAGCTGCTATTTTACGCTGGTATTCTGTGAGAGCGTGGTCCTTCCCCGGTCGAGCAGATCCATTCGTGCTACAACCATAATATAACTGCAGCGTGGCTCTACCACGTATAATTATATAGTGGATAATGTTACACCCCCATTACACGGTATTATTCACCTAAATTAAATATTAATTTAATATTTTTATTAGTTTTTTGAAACATTTTGCTTATTATACATTTCTATCATTCATATCATCTATATTGTGACAAATATTCAGTCTGCTTTCTTCATTAAAAAAAATTTCTACAAAACTTCAAGGTGTTAAAATTTTCACCTATATTATAGCGAATTAGGAAGTCATGTTGCAATTTCAATGAAGATTCAGTATGATCTTGTCTATATTGGAAATAGCTACTGACGCAAATATTGTGATACGATCAGCGGGGTACCGAGCTATTTGAAGCAAACGGATCGTTTGAACTCGCTTACTTATATTTTATGGGAAGCTTTAATACCACTTTAAGACTGTATATGTAGCATGGAATTAATTATTTTGTTGTGTGGTGTGTGGTGGCGGTACAGAAGAATACATTTTGTTCGTGGTACTCTACCACGTACAAAATGCAGCTACAGATTTTTTATAGAATAAGGGTGACATACGAGCACACAGAACACTGATGGTAAGTGGATTTTTTTTTTATAGGATAAGGGTGACAAACGAGCACACAGTCCACTTGATGGTAAGTGGTTGCTGCGGCCCATAGACGTCTACATCTATCCTCCATTCAACACAAATCCACAAATCAAAATGCAGATGCGTTGTCACCCGTGAAGACTAAGATGGAATGCCTCATTTCCAGTAAAAAGGGCCTCCGGCCACCTGCACTCACCAAGCGAAACGCAAAGGTAAACCTCTAGTTCACGCTGGTTTTCTGTGAGGTCGTGGTACCACCCCGGTTCGAGCCGGCCCAACCGTGCGACAGCAAAAGCTGCCGCGTGGCTCTACCACTGTGTAATTGCTATAGCAAATAAACATCTACATTTATTCTCGATTAAGAATCAAAGCGCAGATGCGTTGACTAAGATGGAATGCCTCGCTTCCAGTAAAAAGGGACTCCGGTTCTCTACACTCACCACACAAAACACAGCAGCATTACGCTGCTGTTTTACTCTGGTAATCCGTGAGAGCGTAGCGCTACCCTGGTCGTGCCGACCCATTGGTGCTACAACCATAATATAGCTGCAGCATAACTCTACCACGTATAATATGTGGCTACGGCTGTAGCACGGTTGGATTGACTCAACCTGGGAAGAACACTTCGCACAGAATACCAGCGTGAAAACGAATCATAATACTTTGATAACGAGGCGTACCATCTTAACCATCAGAGATACGCATGACGTAAGTACGGCAGAGAGTGGAATTAGTTGCCAGCATCTGTCTTTGCATCCGATTACAATATGGTTGTCGTCAAGGCAAGAGTGAATAGGCTTTTGTTTAGTCTGTGCGCTTCACCATCTTCGTCTGCATCACCACTTACCATCAGGTGGGATAGTAGTCAAGCGACAGCTTAGAATCGTAAAAAAAATAATAGATGATAAATCTAAGTGTCTATGGGCCTCAGCATTGGACTTTGAGCTCATTTGTCTCTCTTCTATAAAAAAAAAATACATGACATAGAGCTAAAAAGATTTTATGGCTTTTGATAGACAGCGTTAAAACCATCTCATAGGTGCGAGATGTTTACTGCAATCGCCAAGCAAGGCGATTTAAGCATCAATTTATATAGAAGGATCTGGTGACCTGTAACACAGATTTTTTACATCTACGTCAGGCACCAGTCTCTCACAAGTTAGGTACCAGTCTAGCACTTTTCTAATACTTAGCACTAAGATTACCTATTGTAAAGTGATAATAAATGGATTCATTCGTTAATTCATAGAAGTAACAATTAACTCACAGTCCATATTATGTTCCTTTTTAGTTGCTTCAGTTGTATAAATAAAAACACGTTATTAAAGTAGTCGTCGACAAAAAATCTTCTTATTATGTATCGAACATCATAAACAATATTGCTTACTGGACAATAGCAGCTTCATCAAGTTCTCGGTAGCAGCCGAGACAGATGAGAGCGCAGCCGCTGCAAGGGCCTACGACCAGCGCCGGTTCTTCAATGATGACTTCTCCAGCGCGGATGTCACGAGTCGCCACTACGTATCTGAGACGAGACAATATTTATTGTATTGAATAGAATAGAATAGAATAAAATATAATAGAATAGAATCATTATTTTTTTATTATCTACCTGGCGAGCTAGTTTATATATATGTGTGTGTGTACTATATATATTACAAGAATATCAATAATCTCTGAAACTTAGTCCTTAGTCATTTAAGCATTACCACTGGTTCGGAAAAAGCCTCTCTCCTGGGAAGTATGAGAAGAAACCCAGCGGTACTTTTAAAAAAAATTTTTTACAACAAAATCTTTTATACACAAGTTAGCAATGACCTCATTCCCAGGGGTTATTATCAATCGTATACTCTTTAGTAGTATAATAACCCTTACTAATAATATTTTAATAATTTTATTATTATTATATTATTAATTAATATTTTTTTTAACTTAATGAGAGTTAAGAATTGCATAATTCATTTCTGGGATTTTGTTGTAAAAGCTTATAGGTACATTGCTCTATAATGGAATTACTGACTCTTTGGAGTCGAGTAGCTGGTATAACTGGACGTAGTAGAGTCATTCTGCAGCTATATTATTGTTGTATTACGTATAATAATAATACGTTTATTCGTTGCTCACGAGTATTGTTACGTGGTCACTTTATACGTCGTAGAGCCACGCTGCATCTATATTATGGTTGTAGCATAAATGGGTTGGCTCGATCTGGGAAGGACCACGCTCTCACAGAATACCAGCGTAAAATAGCAGCTGAACGCTGCTGTGTTTCGTATGGTGAGTGTAAAGAACCGCAGACCCTTTTTACTGGAAACGAGGCATTCCATCTTAGTCCTCAAGAGTGACAACGCATCTGCATTTTGATTCGAAATCGAAGATAGATTTAGATGTCTATGGCTCGTTCGTTACCCTTCTATCTGCTATCCTATAAAAAAAAAACATTAAAAGATGTTAACAATTGCTTATTATATAGTTCTATGGGGCTTTATTTTATCTCCCTTGTTCTATTCGGACCAAGGTTTGGCGCTGGCTTCGGTTGAATTACATGATAGTACAATTGTTACATAGCACAATCACAGTATAATAAACATACAGTAGGACGACGCCTGTGATCTCGTGGTAAATGCCGACAACGTCTAGACAGCGTATGGAGGTTAGGGTTGTCACAAATTAACAATTTTACTAATTTAATTATTTATTTTATATCTACATCGTCATCAATAGTATGATTACTAATATAAAAAAATAAGTAACAATTTGTTCTCAGATTTTTCCTGAAAGTACTCAAAACGTTAATTGCACACCTCACAACGTGAGGGAGTGCTCTACTCGCGACATCAAATCCATATTATTATTAACGTTACAATGACTACAGATATTGAATTATTATTTTATTTTATAATTGATTCTTCAGGCTTTCGAAAGTTCTTCCAACTAAATCAGGTCTTCCAATAACTTCCATCCATAACTTGCATCTGAAATTTTTAAATACAATACTTATTAATAAATTTTCATAATTATCACCCCCAGAAACCTTAAAATTGACACCCATATTGTATTATTAAAAAAAACCACCATCTTGGATATGAAAATTGATGCAGTTTTCGTGATTGGCACCCCGAGAAACCTCCAAATTGACATCCATAACATTAAAAAAAATATGTCCACCATCTTGGATTTAAAAATGAATTCCATTTTCGTAATCAGCGCCACAAGAAACCTCGAAATTGATACCCATATCATATTATTAAAAAAATGTCCGCCATCTTGGATATAAAATGGATGCCGCTTTCGTAATCAACACCTCAAAAAATTTTTAAATTGACTTCCATAACATTAAAAAAAATAATATCCACCATCTTGAATTTAAAAATGGATACCATTTTCGTAATCAGCACCCCAAGAAACCTCGAAATTGATACCCATATCATATTCCTAAAAAAATGTCCGCCATCTTGGATATAAAATGAATGCTATTTTCGTAATTATCACCCTTGAAATTAACATCCATATCATACATATATAAAAAATAACCATCATCTTGGATTTAAAGATAAATGCTATTTTCGTAATTAGCACCCCGACAAACTTAATAATTGCCCCTAAATCTTAATATTTTATAAAAAACTTCGAAAAACCGAAGACGAGGCACTATAGTATAGTCTTAAAACCTTAGCCTGTCCAACTACACGATTTAGATGAAGAAAAAAAATCAAACTTCGAAACAGTAATGCCCAGCGACTAGTACCTATTTTTTACCTCCGCCATTTTTTTACGTTGGCAATTTGGCATGACATGACAAAATATGCATAATGTAAAAAGTAATAACAATATTTATTTACCTTTCTTCCGTGTGCGGAATTCGGTGAAATCGCAGATCTTTATTTATGCGAGATGACGACTTGCATTCTCTCACAGCACAAGTCGCATGAACCATTATAATTATACTCAACGCTAAATTTAAAAATTATAAAATAAAACGCGCGTTAACCCTGGAAGTTATCTCCCGAGCTACTAATACGATTGGCATGAGCAGCTCGGGCTCGTCCTACCCGCGCCTCACCCCTCACACCCTGCACGATTGCTCTGACTAGACGTCTTTGTCGGACGACTGTATGGATTTATAGACTGTGGTACAATTGTTAGTACAATTATACAATTGTTTTTAACACGCGCTTGTATTTATCTATCTGTCTATAGGCGGCTCTTCACATTTACCAACATACTGGCGAATGTGTTGGCCAATAACGATGGCCATCGTGTAGAGCGGGTGTTTATGCTTACGTTGGTATATATTGGAATGATGGCCCACAAGTTGGCGCGAGATCCGTGGGGTGTCGGTTTTTTTTTTCAAAAGATCAAAGGGTTGTGCAGAGTATTGGCCGCCCCGCGTCCTCACGTTGGGCGCACATTCAGTTTGCTACGAGCTATGTCCGTACATTGGCCTGAACCGAAGCAAACTGAACGACCTTCCAACGTGTGGACGCGATCACAAATTCTTGGCTAATATCTCTGCCAACACATTCGCCACTATGTTTGCCAACGTGAAGAGCCGCCATATGATGAACGGAATCTATTGATTTAATTTTCACCACCTTGTAGACGGCCGATTGACTTGAAAACTTGCACTCTTATGAAAAACCAATGACAAAACAATCATTTAATAACTTTTTCCTAATATCCTGATCAGGATCACCAAGATAAAATTAAATAATTATCATGATCATCACAGTTCATGATCAATGCATGTTAAGTTTTTTTTAAACTCTCATACTATTATTGGAACGAAGTTCCTTATCGGAAGGTACGGGTTTGGCGGATGGGAGCTAAGCGACAAAAATTGTAAGATTTTTTCGTCATTACCCCTTTTGTCATAGTGTATAATTTTATTTTAAATGACGCTTCATTTTAAGAGACGCTAATAATTTATTTATTTATATTTGTTAATCAATATTATAATACGTTTATCAATAATAATATACTATGAAAAGAACTTCGTTCCAACCATTTAAGATATACTGGCGTAAGTATATCCTAAGTCTATGGTTCCAACCGAGTGCTCCACTACACTCACGCATGTTTTTAATCATGAAGCGTACATACAGAGTTACAGAGTACAAACGTAAATGACGGAAACCGACTTGACAAGCATGTAGCAGACGTCGAGTCGTCGGCTAGTGTGTTGACATATAGACGCGTGTTGTTTTGGCGGGAGAGTTTTCTTCCGAGTGCTGTTATGTGCTGTTAACCATCTGTTCATCTGTTGCCATCATTCAATAATCATTACCAACTATGGAGATGTTAGCTCAGAGGCAGGGCATTGGCATTTAATTTGAAAGTATGTACATAAATTAATAGTACTTATAACATTAAGAAGAATCTTTTATTGACATGCTCTAAAAAGAAGTAAATAATTTTTAAATTAAATCAAACCCATCAATTTATTACATTACACAATTTATATTATATAAAAACTTGTCGCGAGTTATACTTATTTTATACAAAACATAATTTTTTCTTATTATCAATATATGTCAATAACAAGTTACGCATTGTATTTTAGTTTATGTACATCCATGCTTAAAATTATGCTCATGTTTTTTTCTTATTTTTTCTTTATAAGAACATTACGCCCACGCTAGGATTATTCCTGTACCGTGTGTATCGTGAGGGTAGTTTACAAAAATAAATTGCACATAGACACATCCAAACCCGAAACAATTACTTCCGTGCGGGATTCGAACCCGGGGCCCCAGCGTCGCGAATCAATGCGTAAAGCATCGATTTTATAAAACTTGGATACACGCTGTGTTATTTGGTATTCATAAGAGCATAAACGATAGCATACTGACTAATAAATAATATAGTTCTGATTTGAATTTGAATATATTTTATGAAAGAGTGGAAAAACGAGCTTATGTTTATGGCTTACCTGATAGTAAGTAACTACCGCCGCCCATGAATAATTGCAACACCAGGGATTTTAATGATCTTTTTTTAAAATGCAGTCAAATGGAGAAATCCCTCTTTTTTGAATTCGGTTAAAAATGTAAGCAAACTACGAAAAGTATACTAACTTCGTATCAGGACATTTGAAATTTCAGGTTTATCGATATTTCAATAAAGTACAGTAACGGTCCTTGCGTGGGAGGGGCGTAATCTGTGACGTGGACTGATCGCGAGAGTGCACAAAACCAATAATATTGATTAGTTTCTTTTCACGCTTGTTAATTAATTACGGTTGTAACAAAATGTCAGAACTTTTCTACGAAAATAAGGTTATTTGTCAAGGCTTTTCAATCTTCCATCTATCTATCCCTTCGTCAAATACCACTATTTATTGAGCCTGACACGCTCCGAATCGCAACCTGTCTACCGCTTGGGGTTCCGGTCTGCGCTCCTCATAAATGTCCCTGTAGCAGTGATGGCGACAAGCTAGGACATCACGGACTGTCATGCCAAAAAAGTGCAAGCCGCTTCTCGAGACATGCCGCACTTAACGATATCATACGCCGGTCCCTTGCT